GCTCTCAACCCATCAATTCACCAAACAACTCGGATTCCCCACGGTTGGGCAGAAAATCGATGTGTGACGAAGAATGTACCCGATCATTGTTCAATGTAATTGAGAAGAGCGCCAGCTCCAAAAATAAAAGCTGTCTTCATACAGCCAGATATGGGCTCGACTTCTGAAGTTGATGTGCTCTTTTCATTGTTAATGTAGTCTTTCTTCGTATTGTCTCTTAGTTGCCACTTGACAATTGTTTGCGTTTGACTTGCTTACTTTTGGCAACGTCACACTTGGCAAAGTACTTCCCAAGCCCCATTCCTAATGCCAAAGCAAAACAATTGAGTGTGCCAGTTAGTGATGATGATTGTGCTCACTACTTATGATTTTGATGACGAACAGCCGCCCGTGCCCTCTCTGAACAAAGTCCAAGGTAAGCTTACACTATCCAATACCCATTACGAAAAAAAAGAAAAAATTGTAAGAAATATATGTGAAATGTAAATCAACTTCAACTTCAAGATGGTCTTATTAGTAATATATGTTTGTAGACATTGCTCAGTTGTAAAGTCCATGATTCACGCCGCCTGATTCATCAGATTGGCTTGGCCTTAGCAGAATATCAATCTAGAGTATTACTCGTACAATTTCGAAGTCATATATTGCAATTAAGTTGCTTTTTATGCTGCTCTCGATTTGTCATAGAAATCGAAAATATCTTTTACAACATAAATAATGCATATAAAAATATGCAGAATTGTATATACCGCTTGCGGACCTAGTCCAATACAGGGTACAGCAACTAAACATAAAAATAAATATTGAGTGTTGGGTTTCTCGCTCGGTGATTTACCTGCTGGAAGCTGTCGGCTGTCGACTGTCGGTTGTCGGCTGTCCGCTGTCGGCTGTCGACCGCTAGCTATCTATCAGCTGTCAGCTGTCAGATAGGAGCTGTGTCGCTATGCTTGTCTGTGGTCAGTTAGCTCGTCAGATTGCTCGATACATAGACGAGTGGGAGACAGAGGCAGAGAGCGACAAAGAGGGCGAGAGAGCGAGAGAGAGAGAGAGAGAGAGCTAGCGAGAGCGAGTGAAAATCAATAGACCGGACTAAGCAGGTGCTTTGCTTTTGGGGGATTTCCAAGCTGGCAATTGGCTGCCCTCGCAATTGAATTGACTTTTTTTTCGTGCCATGAATTTAAACGATGATGTAGCAAACTCCGTGCCCGACTACTCGTCTGCTCGTTGTAGTTTTTTGGGGCCGTTACTTGTGCTAAAAGCCAACTGAGCGTTTAGCGAAAACCGCAGGGGCTGGTTAACTATTGCTGAGTTAGCTATTTGAAATGCCTGATTGATCATCGAGCGCAGCATCCGCCTGTGAGCCGCAAGCACACTTGAACTTCACCTTATTATAATACACACACACTGTACATACATACACATACATACACACACACACACACACACACACACACATACACATACACATAGACATTATCGTGTTCTTATCGCAGTGACACTCTGTCGTTGACACACCGTCAAGTGCTACTGATAAGAAATATAATTTATTGCCTTCCTCTCCATAAAGAAAGGGGCAACAAATTATATGCAAATAAATGCAACGGAAATACAATTAAACACTCTGATGAGGTTGCATTTTATATTGATATGTTTAATTCCATTAAGAAGATTTGCCGGCAGATACAATAATTGCTTTCTGAGCAAGCAAGTCAGCTGATAAATATAGATCATATATGTGGGTATATGTGTATCTTTCTTAAAAATCTTTTTTAAAAATAAGACATACATTATATATGCACTTAAAATTGTTGTGGCCATATTAATATTAATGTGGCGAGCACTTTAAGCAAGTTTGGCAAGTCTGACTTACGCACGCATCGCGTCTGACTAATGCACAAACAAAAATAATGGGAAAAAATAAAATAAAAAAATAAAGCATCAAAACAAACTAAAATTCATTATCAAGAATGGAAGCCGGAACGGGTAGTTGATAGATATTGCCCTCAGGCGCTTAATTAATGAATGAATTCCTCGTACTTGTTGATACTATTTGCTCAATAAATAATGAACGCTGCGATTCCAACGATTCATTCATATTTTGCTTATGGTCATCCCAACAACGAATGAAACTGCGACTGTGATTGCGACTGTGATTGCGACTGTGACTGTGACTGCAACAGAGGCGGCAGCGGATGTGAAATACGTATATCGAGGACGTCACCATGCAATGTGCTCGTCATTTCTAAATAAGTAACACTCTATAAAGAGTACCCTTAACGAGCTTCAAATGACGCTGCCAACTTCTTTCTGTCAATAAATGAGCACAATAACAATCCCAACAACAACTATTGCTATATATGTATGTGTGTGCGTGTATGTTCCATGGAAACATATGTACATCTGCAGATACACAGAGACCAGAGACACAGATAAGTTGATATCGTTGCCGCTTCGCACCTCATGTGCGAAAATTAGCAGATAAATTTAGTGCGATGTCATCGCCACAACAGGAGGAGAGACTGTGTGGAATGGAAGCGGAGTGGGATGTAGGGGCGCCAGCTCTTGGTAGGCAGGCGGACCTAAAAAAAATTAGTAAAATCATTTACATTTGGGAAAGTTTATGACATACATTATTTGTATCTCATAAGCAAATTGTTGATGTATATGTGGGGATTAGGCTAATTGAAAGGTGATGTATGAATATAATCATATTGCCAAACCAAGCACTTCTTAATTCAATTATAATTCTTCCCTGATATATATATATATCTGATATAGTACTCCGATGTTGTTGGTTCTTGCCAAAATTTCAGCAGCATAATAGAACTCATAACTTGTGAGTTTAGTGAGAATATAGATTTTATTAAGTGTCGTATATATTTGTTTTTGTTTATCTATTTATTATGCTGCTCATGTTAGCCGCTGCATTCAATTGCCTCACTTTGCATGGAACTCTTCTGGTGGGCCACATATTCTCCAGCTGGACGTATGAGTGATTTCAGGCTGCATTTAGTAGAAGAGTCGATTTAACTCGATTCAACTCGACTTGACTCGTGTGGCGAATACAACTCTTATACGACAACATATGGCCACCCTCCCACTCTGTCGTTCGGTGCATTATTTACGCATGCCAATTCTCGATTGTTGTTTAATTTGCACACACTGTAAATGCGCGCAGATCGGAAATGCCAAAGCTAGCGAGAAGCCAGTGCATAAGTATTAAGTACAAAAAGTAACGACGGCAAAAAACACAAACACACACACTCAAAACAAGAGAGTGTGAAGTCCAATAATAATAATAATATATATATATATATATATATATATATATTACATAGATATATAGATGAATAAATATATGTAAATGCTTCGTAAAAAGCAATTAGAAAATACCAGACGCAAAGTGTTCAAGTTAAATTCAATTTTCTTATGAATGGTGCAAGTGGTTTTTTATAGTGCATTTAATTATGCATCATAAAACATTGATTATTAATCGTCCACGAAACTAAAGAAGCTGCAAATACGTGCTTCCGATTTCAAATGGGTAAGCAAACAGGTAGTTGGGTAGTAGGATACTACAACGACGAGCAGAGCTGGAATATTAAGACATACTTTGGTAGGTGATTTGAGAAAGGTTCTCAGATCAAGGCTTGTTTCTTGTTGAACAAATTAATCTGAGATAGAAAAAATATATACAATATTGGTTGCCTAAGAAACTATGTAGCAATGTTGGAGGGTATCTGCTAGACCAAAATTGCCTATGCAACTTTAATAAAGAATGATCGCTTGTGGGAGGGAGGAGGGGGGTGGTTAGGAAACCGGGACAGTGACAGGGACGCCGCTAAATACATACAAACGGAAGAGCGGAAGTGCAGAATGAAGAGGTGACTAGAAAGCAGTGCCGCAAAACCACAATGACAACGACAGCCTGAACAACAACAACAAGAAGAACAACAACAACAACAGCAGCAGCAACAACAGATACAAATCTAACAAAAAATCAAGCAAATAAACATGCAGCGAAGCATTGCAAAATTCAATGTCACATCCGTTTTGGGGCATGCAACGTGCAGCGTGCAGCGTGCGCATAAATTAAAGCTCTCCCCGAGCGAAGAAAGAAAGAAGAAGCCGCAACAACAACAACAATTGTCAATAATAAGCAGCAAGTATCAGCAACAAGAACAATTCAAACGTCAAAATTGCTGTTGAGTCACGTTGAGGCAGCGACACCTGTCTCTCTCTCTCTCTCTCTCTCTCTCTCTCTCTCTCTCTCTCACTCCCTCTATCTGTACATCTGTTTTCGCTCAAACTTTTGCCGCTGTCGCGTGCCAAGAATAGAGTCGCCAGAGTTAAAGTCAACTCTCAGACTCTCTCTCTATCTCTCTCTCTCTCTCTCTCTCACACACACACACTGACGCACTCTCTCTATCTCTCTCTCTCTCCAGACAACACGTCGCCTTGTCTGCGACGGCGCTTTTTCTGTGCATCTTTGCCTCTATGTGTTGGTGTGTATCTCTGTCTGTGTCTGTGTATGTGTGTGTCTGTGTGTGTGTGTGTGTGCGTGTGGTCGCTTTGCCAACACACGATTGGCTGACAATTACTGTCTACCCATTGTCGTCATCACTTGTCTTCGTCACTTAACACCGCTGTGTACTTGCCTACTTGTGTATTTGTATTTGTAATTGTATTTGTATTTGTGTTTGTGTGTTAGAGGTTAGCGTTCGGGCCGTGCTCTCGCACATTATTTAAATGCTGCGCGCGCAACCAAATTTTAAATAGGTAACAGATCTTGAAGTGTTAACTTGTGCCGGGCGCCTCAAGCAACAACCTGCAAGCACTCCAAAATTATAGCATTAAACGGCAAAATATAAACAAACAAACAAAGCCCTGGGAATATTGCACTTCACTTTTACATTCGTGGCAATATTTATTTTTTTTTTCAATATTTTTGTATTAACTGTGCCGCGCATCAAATGACAGCAACAACGACAAAAACTGCAATGGCAACAACAACATCAACCGGAATGTTGAGCACATTCGGCGGGTTCATAACGTGCCGCAATAGCCAAATTCAAACCAGAGTCGCCTGTGCGAGTCCAGTGTCCTGCTGCAGTCGACTGCAGGAGCGTAAAGGCTTCACAACAACAGCAACAGCAACAACAACAAAGGCAGTCACCCGCCCACGCCTAGGCGCCCAACAGTCTTGCAGTCTCATGTGTAAGTTTGTGTTCGTGCAACAGTTGCAACAGTTGCTGTGCTGCATTCATAGCAGAAGATGATTCACCCATCGCTCAGTAATAAACTCGATATTCGCGTACTTCTAATCTGACTTGTGTATCTGTGTGTGTGTGAGAGTGTGTGTGTGTGTGTGTGTGTGTGCGAGTTTGTGGATAATGTGATAATGTGTGTATTTAGTGGACTTCACAGAAGACGCAGCGACAACATCAACGTCATGGCAAAAGCCCAGCACAACAATTTTCACGTTTGCCATCTTACGATTAGATTGCAATAAACATGAGTCAATGCGTGGGAAAACCTGTGGCAATTTCGACTAACTTAATTTTATCCTGAAAGATAAACACAGTGAGAGAGAGTGAGAGTGAGAGTGTGTGTGTGAGAGAGAGAGAGAGAAAGAGAGAGAGTGAGAATGAGAGAGAATGGGAGAGAAATCATATACAAACAATGATAATTAGAACAAGTCAAAATGCTCTAGTCGAGGGGGCTCTTGTTGACTCGACTATTCTGATCCTGATCAAGAATATATGTATATACTTTATGGGGTCTGCCTTCTCGGTGTTACATAGATTTGCACAATTTGAATTTATTCCTTAAGCACATTGTACTTGAGCTTACTGAACCGATCTAGTTTCATTAAAATAATGTTTTCATATTTGCAGTAAAAAAAGGAAAATTGATTAGGAAATTGTAATTGAATATTTGTTATATTACTACTTGCAGGTCCTAGCAACTATTGGCTGCTTGCAACAATGCTGATAATACTCACAACCTGCTATCTACCGAACACAGCGGCGTCGCCACGTCGCGCACTTGGTCGCCACTTGATATTGCCGCATCGGCATCACGTGCACCTGCGGTCGGCGGGAATGGAGCATGGCAAGGAGAAGGTGGGGTTCAGTTGTAAGCATAACATGGATGTGACCGTCGAGACATTGAAGCATGCTGAACAAGTCAGCAATACAACTTGTAGATCCATTGAAGAGCTGCTGATGGATTGGGTGAGTTTTGTCACTGCCCCCAAAAATGAAATGAGGTTACTCATCAGCTGGCAAGCTAACTAATGCCATTCGGAACTCTTCTCTTTCTACTTGCAGCTGGATAAGGAGATGAAAATGACGCTGCAGACAGCTGAGGAGAGGTACAGTTGGCATAGTTTGCCGATAGACTATGCGCTCATGAATGAATCCTCCTCTCACTCATACAATGGCAGCGACACAATGAAGCCTGAAGACGAGCTAAAAAATATTCTCAGTTCGTTGACGAAAATCAATCTGCTGTTGACTCGCATAATCAAAGAACTGCCCTTGAAATCGAATAGGGATATATTCAATATATTCAAGGAGAAGCTGGAGCACAATATAACCGTGGCCGAAAGCATGCTGGGCTGCAAATGGATCGATGTGCTCCCGGAACCGCTCACAGGTGGCTTTCCACTGGCAGAGTACTGCATTGTCAGGGATGCCATCCGGCTGCTTAAGGTAATCAGTGTCAAGTATAGGGTAATGCACGATCGAAAGTCGAGGGCAAACTCCTAAAACACTGCGAATCAGCGATCTGCCCAATGCACCCTTGTCCCCCTGGCGCATTGACCTGTGCCCCAAAACCGTGTACAAGAAAATGCCAAAAGAAGGAAGGAAGACAAATACTAAAAACAAAAAGACGAATCTAAACTAAGCAGCTAGTTGAATGCTACAACATTGTAGAATGCATATGGTTTTGCATGTATATATGTAAATGTGCTTATTTATTTATTATTTTTACTGTCCCACATACCATCGATAATTACTAAGCCAATTTATTTTTTTTTATTTATTATGACATTGCATTTTCGCTCATTTTTGTTATTTATATATTCATAAAAACATATATCATTGTCTGAAAATTTGTACTTAATATGTTAAATTATATTTTAATTTGTATTGCTTCCGTAAACAGCATTAAATCTTAATATTATTATTTATTATTATTATTATGATTAAATGTTAACTTAATCTATGTTTCCAAAACACAACTTTAGTCAGCCATTTTATGTTTTTTTTTTTTTATAAATAAATTAGTTAAAGTAATTATTTTGAATTGTTTGCATGCTGCATGTTGATTTGTATTTGTTGTATTTGGATTCATTTCCAGCTTTTAGGTGGTTGTTAGACAAGTTAAGGTTTCTTATAGCCAGCCAGTCATTACTACAACGATACTGCCAGAAAGTGTATTCATCGAGTTGGAAAGAAGTTCTTAATGGGTGAGTGAAGCATTGGATTGATCGCAACCCCTTTTAATTGCAAGACAAACGTTCTCATAATTGGAATATGAGGCAATGTATCCAAGGGATACTTACGAAAATGATTCTCAAAAATGCAGGACAACCAAATTGATATGTTGATCGCAGGCAACAACAGATGAAGACTACAAAACGGGAATGCAAGACAATACAATTATTTCCAACACTCCCTCTCAGCGCAGATTGTTTACGCAAACCCATTAAGTTAACAAATTCCTTATGCTTTACTTTACAAAGGTTTTTCGTTAACACTTCAGAGATCATGTTTTTGGTAGATACATATTCAATTTCAACTACATTATTTTTAAGCATATCTCTGATATGATGATATTTAATATCGACATGTTTACTACGCGCATGGAACTTAGCATCTTTTGCCAAGCATTGAGCGCTTTGATTATCGCCAAATATCATTGTTCCAGATCCCTCGCTGAAACCCATTTCACGCATAACTTTGCGTATATATGCAGCTTTCTTAGCTGCCAGTGACAGTGCCACATACTCTGCTTCAGTACTGCTTAATGCAACGACGCTCTGCTTCTTTGACTCCCATGAGAATGCAGCGCCTGCTGCAAAGAACGCCCAGCCACTGTAGAACTTCCGGTCCGTGCTGTCTCCAGCCTCCAATTTGCATCGACGAAACAATGTATCGCCTGACCGGTCAACTCTGCCTGATTGATCATCAGAGGGGCAGTGCCCCTCAAGTATCTTAATACTTGCATCTGAATGAAACTGTGAGCAGGTCTGCAAGCGCTCTCTGCCGACAAACACGTGACTATTCATACACACAGACATCTATACGTATACGCAATCGTAACGGGGTAAGGGGCCACTGCAGCATACACACGAAATCATATTGACGCTCGCGCTGATCTTCATGCCATCTCTTTCTCATTCGTATTCTCGCATGTTTATGAATAAAGAAAGAATATGTGCTGCCCAAGTTGGTTCTCAGAGCGTGACGCGTCTGCTGCGTACGCGCGCGTGGTCGCTCTGCTATGATTGGCTGGAAACTGAAATGAAATGATATCGAATGACCGATGACGACACATGCCATCGCGGCTCCAGCTACATTAATACAGCTGCACGCGCGACCGAAATTTATACAGCTTACAGATCTTGAAGTGTTAACAAGTGCCGCAGCAGCAGCTGGCAAACTAAAAGTGTAACAAAAACTAAATAATAGTAGTAAATAAAATAAGAAATGTCAACAACAACATCAAACGCAGTGATGAGCACATGTGACGGCTTCGCAACGGCCAGAGTGTCGTGCGCGAGTCCTGTGCCCTGTTGCAGTAGAGCTGTGTCCCATAAGATCACGAGGACACTAGCCAGTAAGTAGACAACAGTAACAGTCTTGCTGCCTCATGTGTAGGTTTGAGTAAATATCACGGCATAATGATGTGCACTCATAGCACCCGAAGATGACTCACCCATTTCGATGTTTGATTAGCTATAGCATTCTAGCTATAGCTATTCGTGCTTTCGTTTCACTATGTAGGAATGTTACATGTAATATTCATATTCACACGTTACGGCAAGAGACCCGCCAAGAGATATGCACATAAATATCTGCTGTGTATTTTGTTATAAGATTGCAATATCATCCACAACCCAATAAGAAATGTGTGAACGCGTCCATTCAGTGCAGCCAATTGGCAAACAAAGCAATCAAAAGCAACAAATCGAGTATTTACTTTATGTAGATTGTAACTCTGGCAAATATATCTAGTATTTAGTGTGTATTAAAACTAAAATTATTAAAACTCGACTCGAGTATAGACGAAGTAGTACAATTTATTAGGAGATTGTAATTGAATATTTGTTATATTACTACTTGCAGGTCCTGTCAACTATTGGCTGCTTGCAGCAATGCTGATAATATTCACAACCTGCCTTTTAACGAGCACAGACGCGTTGCCCGCTCGAGTGGTGCAGGGTGAGCCGGTCAGGTCAGAGTTCCACTGCAAAACTCCGAATGTGAACGACACTCGATTTATAAACGAAGTGGAGCGCAGCAAATCTGTTTATAAATCCCTTGCTAAGTCGCTTCTGACGTGGGTAAGTTTTGCCACAGTCCCCATATTAAATGAGGTCTCCGCTCCTGTCAACTAGTTAACTAATGCCAATCTACACTACCCTCTTTCTTCTCAGCTAATTAATTCAACGAATATGACTATTGAGAAGATTCGGGCTAAGTATGTACATTATAGAATGCCGCTAAACTATTCGCTCGCGCATGAAGTCAGTGTGGCGCTAAACCGTTCATCCAGCAATGAAGCCTTTGGAGATGGCATGACCAAGATGGAACAGATTTTCGAGTCTGTGACGAAGATGTACTTGCTAGTCAATCAGACAGAGAGCAACCTAACCACACCACTGGATAAGCAGTTTTATTGCCTTCTTAAAAAGAAGGTGACGGTGCTGATGGGCACAGCCAAAGTTTTGGGCGATTGCAGTTGGAACGAAACCCTTGCGAATTCATTCACATATAATACATTTGGGATGAAGCGGGCTGTTGCCCTTGAGGTCCTCGGGTTGACCAAGGTCGTCAGTGAGTACTATGCGGGTATGCGAGAGTCCGAGACTCCTTAAACTCTGCGAATCAGCGATCAGCGATCAGCTATCAGCGAACTGTGAGGAAAGTGCAAAAAAAACATGGAACTGCAATTCCAAACAAAAACAAGTAAGAGTGCTGTAGTCGAGTGAGCTCGACTACGATTTACCCTGGACCCAGTTGTTAAATATTTTTAGATTTATTGAATATATATGTGTGTATTTATGTATATGCACGTGTTTGTTGTCAGTCAGACCTGCCCACATTTGCGTGCAAAACTTATTGTAGGGAAATTTGCCAATAGTTTTAGAATATATTCAATAGCTGGGTTCAGGGTAAATCGTAGTCTTACTTGCACTTTTACTTGTTTTTTAATTTAATTTGATTGTTTAATTTTTAAATTGATTGCAATGCCTTAAATTATGTTTTATGTTGTACTGATTGTTTAATATTATTATTATTACTATCGCTAAGCCCCAAATATTATCACTAATACATTATAATAAATTATGAATAAATGCAAACTTAAGGTGTATTTTGAAAACTTGACTTTAGTCAGCTCTTTTAATTATTGACATAGTTGCGCCACTGTACGAATTTTCTGCGTCCAGTTGGTAGACGCAGTGCTACACATCTGTGCTGTTGTGGCATGCTTCTGCCGACAAATAAACACTTCTACTCCCAGGCCCCGCCAACGAGTCTACGACTTTCGTTTGCTTACTCTGATGTCAGCTGATGGTAAATATTTATTTTTTGCGGCAATTCTGAAAGTGCATTGTGAAGAATGCCCATGCAACTGCTAAAAGTGGCAAGAGTAGTGCAAATCACAATTTTTCATGCTTTATAGTTAATTTTAAGTAGAAGTTGTATACTTAGAAAAAAAAAACAATTCCCGGAATTTTAGTAAATCGTTTCGTGTCCAAGAGTAACTTATCTTATTTTATATTATTATTCAGAAAATATAATTCTTAAAAAAAAAGAGTTTATCTAAGTCAAAAATTTGCTAAATAAAAATCAGTTTAATTATTGAGTTGCGTCAGCGCCGGCGTCATTGGCTCAGACCAACAATAATTTACCGTTGCGCTGAACACACACATGGCTGGCTTCACAAGCTTGGTCATCCTGTGCTGTGCACTGTGTGTGTGTGTGTGTGTGTGTGTAGTAATCGGTAATCGAATCCATCTGCGGTTGGTAGCTGCGCGTGGCAATGGCCTTGCTAGTCAGCCAGTTATCTGAACCGTTTGCCAGCACTGCTGGATTTAGACGTCACCGTGTTGCCAAATACCCTCACTTGGCCCACAGTCTCTATCTGTCTGTTCGAGATAACTGTTTGCCCAAGCGCGTGCCCATTGAATCAGCAGCGGCAGCGGCAGCGCCGCCAACGTGGGCAGCAGCGTTTTTATGAATGAATTCAAGCAGGCGCGACTGCAATGTGCCAGCAGCGCAGCAGCGATATCGACAGCGGCAGCGGCACCGGCAGCGGCAGAGAGGCAACAGGTGAGCAGAAAACATAAATGTGAACACACAAATCAGGTTATTTTCGCTCTTTCGCTCACCCATACTCATTCTCTCACTCTCTGGCTCTCTCGTTTGGCACGCTCTTGCACTCAGCGAGCGAGAGAGATAGACGACAACAGAGAGTGAGAGGCAGAGCAGCCGAGTGAGCGCGCTCCATTTGTTGGGATTGGTTGGCTGGCTGCCAGTTTGCTTATCTGCTGAGCGCAATTCACCAATAAGCAGAGGGACTCACACATACACAGATGTACATAGTAAGACACACACACATACATACACACACACACACACACTCTTTCCCTCTCCCTCTCTCTATCTCTCTCTCTCTCTCACT